TTCTTTCTTTGTTAATTTAGCTCATCATTTTATTTTCAAATTTTGCTTTTATTATTAATTAATTATTCTTATTATTTCATATTTATTCTTCATTTTTTCCTTCTAACTAACTATTTAATGATATATTTTTTCTTCAATATTTAAAAAGGTCTAATTAAATTGGTATAATAGGTGCATCAGGCTTAGGTTCTGCTTTAGCAAATTGCATTAAACTCTCAAATTTGATACTTGACCTCGAGTAAAAACAGTTTATTTGTTTTGGATTGTGATATTTTTAATTATAAAAACTAATTAAAAACAACAAAGCTCTTTTTTCTTTTTCTTTTTATTGTGCTTGCTTTTTTTTTGTTCTTTCTTTTTTTGTTAATTTAGCTCATCATTTTATTTTCAAATTTTGCTTTTATTATTAATTAATAAATCTTATTATTTCATATTTTTTCTTCATTTTTTCCTTCTAACTAACTATTTAATGATATATTATTTCTTCATTATTTAAAAAGTTGCGATAAAATTTGTGAAATAGGTGCATCAGGCTTAGGTTCTGCTTTAGCAAATTGCATTAATCTCTCAAATTTGACACTTAACCTTGGGTAAAAACAGTTTATTTGTTTTGGATTGTGATATTTTTAATTATAAAAACTAATTTAAAACAACAAAGCTCTTTTTTATTTTTCTTTTTATTGTGCTTGCTTTTTTGTTCTTTCTTTTTTTGTTAATTTAGCTCATCATTTTATTTTCTTATTTTGCTTTATTATTAATTAATTAATCTTATTATTTCATATTTTTTCTTCATTTTTTCCTTCTAACTAACTATTTAATGATATATTATTTCTTCAATATTTAAAAAGTTTCAATTAAATTGGTGCAATAGGTGCATCAGGCTTTGGTTCTGCTTTAGCAAATTGCATTAAACTTTCAAATTTGACACTTGACCTTCGGTAAAAACAGTTTATTTGTTTTGGATTGTGATATTTTTAATTATAAAAACTAATTAAAAACAATAAAGCTCTTTTTTATTTTTCTTTTTATTGTGCTTACTTTTTTTTGTTCTTTCTTTCTTTGTTAATTTAGCTCATCATTTTATTTTCAAATTTTGCTTTTATTATTAATTAATTAATTAATCTTATGATTTCATATTTTTTCTTCATTTTTTCCTTCTAATTAAATATTTAATGATATATTTTTTCTTCGATATTTAAAAAGTAAAAATTAAATTGGTGCAATAGGTGCATCAGACTTAGGTTCTGCTTTAGCAAATTGCATTAAACTTTCAAATTTGACACTTGACCTTCGGTAAAAACAGTTTATTTGTTTTGGATTGTGATATTTTTAATTATAAAAACTAATTAAAAACAATAAAGCTCTTTTTTATTTTTCTTTTTATTGTGCTTACTTTTTTTTGTTCTTTCTTTCTTTGTTAATTTAGCTCATCATTTTATTTTCAAATTTTGCTTTTATTATTAATTAATTAATTAATCTTATTATTTCATATTTTTTCTTCATTTTTTCCTTCTAATTAAATATTTAATGATATATTTTTTCTTCGATATTTAAAAAGTTAAAATTAAATTGGTGAAGAAGGTGCATCAGGCTTAGGTTCTGCTTTAGCAAATTGTATTAATCTCTCAAATTTGACACTTGACCTTCTGTAAAAACAGTTGATTTGTTTTGGATTGTGATATTTTTAATTATAAAAACTAATTAAAAACAACAAAGCTCTTTTTTCTTTTTCTTTTTATTGTGCTTGCTTTTTTGTTCTTTCTTTCTTTGTTAATTTAGCTCATCATTTTATTTTCAAATTTTGCTTTTATTATCAATTAATTAATCTTATTATTTCATATTATTTCTTCATTTTTTCCTTCTAATTAACTATTTAATCATATATATTTT